GGGGGGGGGGGGGAATCGCTCGATTGTGGGGGAGGGTCTCCGCTCGCCGAGAGGGGTCCGGGTCCCTCGGGGGAGGGGTCTCTGTCCACGGCGGCGCCGCTGGAGCCCTTCCAGAAGGTTCCCCGCGCCCCGGAGGGGTCCCCGTGCCCGCGGGAGGGTCCCGGGGGTTTTTGGGGGGGGTCCCGGAGCCCCTCGGGAGCGTCCCGGTGCCGCGAGGGGCGGGGGGGGGGGAATGGGAACAGCGGCTCGGCCCCGCCCCCAGCGCAAACCCCGCCCAAAGCCCCGCCCCCGGCCCGGCCCCGCCCCCGCGTGCGGCCGCACGTGCGCGGCCGCGTGTGAGGACACGTGAGGGGAGCCCGGCCACGCCCACCCGCTCCGCGCATGCGCGGTTCCCACAGAAAGGCGGGACGCTCTAAACCACGCCCCCGGGGGGGTGTGTCCTCATCGCTGATTGGTCAGCGCCGGATCCCCCCTCAAAAAACGGCTCAAAATCCGCCCCCAGCCCCAAAAAACGGCTCCGATAAAAACATCACCCAATAAAACATCACAGGGGGAGGTTCGGGGGGTCCCGGGGGCCCCGCGGCCCCTTTTGGGAGGAGTTAAAGGAACCCAAAACCCCCCGGGGAATTTACAAAGTGCCGGAAAATGAAACGCCCACCCCCAAATTGAAGGAGGGTCCTCGGGAGGATCCCGGAATCGAGCGGGGGGTTCCGGGTGCGATTTGGGGGGTCCCGGGTGGGGTTTGGGGGGTCCCGGAAGCGGCTGGAATAGACGGAGGGTGGCGCGCGCGGGGCATTGTGGGAAAATCCCGGAAATAAACCCCCCGCTCGCCGCTCATTGGCTGCCGCCCGCGCAGAGCCCGCCGGGAGGGCGAAGCTGATTGGCTGTCGCTTAGCAACGCTGGCCCGGAAGTAAAGCGCGCATAGAAGCGTCTCTTAGCAACCGCCGCGCAAAGCCCGCCGGGAAGCGAGCGCTGATTGGCTGCTGCCAGGCAACGCGCGCGAAGGGGCGGCGGGAAACTGAGGCGCAAAGCACGCCGGGAGCGCCCGTTGCCGGGCAACGGCGGCGCCAAGGCGGAAGTGCGGCCTAAACGCCGCGAAGGAGCCCGAGACCCCCGCGGGACCCCCCAGGGCGCGCAGCCCCCGAGTTTGGGAGGTTCTGGAGGGGGTTCCCGACAGGATCCGGAGGTTCCCGAAGGTTCCGGGGATGCCCCGAAGCGGCGGGAAGCGCCAGAACTGTGAAATCTTTATTGGTTATTTCGTTCATGGTTTTTTTGTTTTGTTTTGTTTCTGTTTTTTTAATACATTCGCAGAGTGAAACCCCTCCCCCCCCACCCCCTCCCCCTCCTATTTACAGGTGTCAATAAGGCTTCAGAGAGACCCC